TCTGCGAGTGAAACCTTAAAAGCTTGCGAGATCAGGATGGTCTCACCAGGCCAGATGGAGAGGGGCTTCATTGAAATCCACTCCACACTTTTCAGATGTCTAGAGTGAAAAACAGAAAACTCTTTATTTCCACTTTACTTCTGGTTGGGAGGCGACAAGCTAAACAAATTCAAGACATGTAAGAAATGCGGTGATGACACTTTGTTTTTAGTGTATTTTTAGAGACAGATCAAAGATAAAGAAAATGTTTCATCAGTTTTCAGCTAATGTGATAAAGGAAATATTGGTTATCAACCATAAGAGAATATTTGTGTCTCATATCAATATCGGTCAGATTTATTTAATTATTACATTTATCAGAACTCAGTAAAAGAAGACAGAACTCAGAGGTTTGTTTCTCCTCCTGCCTTTATTCGCTCATCAGCATGGATTCTACTGCAGGTTGGACACAAGTTTGAATAAAATGCATTGCTTTCATCCACAGACATGAAACGGTTGGAACAGCTAACAGAGGATGAATCCAGTCGGTTTAATCACCTCCCAATCATTTGGCTTCCATAAATACAACTTGCACATTATTTTCACTTTTGACTCCCAGTCACCGAGACGCGTAACGGCTGATCCATCCAGCTCCTCATACGTGTGTGTGTGTGTGTGTGTGTGTGTGTGGGCGGGTGCATTTATGATCGAGAGACGAAACAGAAGTGCGGTAATATATACAGACTTAACCATAAACGGTGCTTTTTTTTTTTTTCTTTCGTTCTCTTTTAACACTGCAATAAGGGGAGCAAGCAATTTTACACAGAGATTGGTTTGTTTTGAACAGATCGGTGAAGATAGGTCGATTCGGTTTGTTTTTATTCTCTTTTTATTCCATATATGTGGGGGAGCTGGGAGAGGCCGGCATCTGATCCAGGATCCTGCAGACGTATCCAGCGACGTCGACGGAGCGCTCCTCGTACATCTGAATGAACGGGTCTCTCTGTTGTGTAAAGATAAATAAAGCGGGAGCAAATAGATTAGTAAGAACTTTAACTATGCGTATTAATTTTTACCTTAAACGTACCAGAAGCTCCCTGTACTTTGGCCTCTTGGATTCATCCTTTGTAAGGCTAAAGGGGACAAACAAAAGTGGCATGTTTTAGGAGTAGTTGGCTTATTTGTCCACTAGAGGGTAGACAAGTACATCAAAATATGAAACAAAATCCATCTGAGGTGCTGGATGTTGCTGGTTTCTCACCACACGTTGACAAAGGAGATGAATTTGGGGGAGAAGCGCCTCTCGTCTGAGTTGCTGAGCTGCGGCGGGTCTCCTCTCACCACCTGAGTCAGCTGGTCGAACACGCTGTTCCACTTCGGGTAGGGAAACCGTCCAGTGGCCAGCTCGTACTGAAACATACACACCCATAAAATGGCAGAGAGAGGAGAGAGTCCAACACTGAGGAGAGGATGTCATTGTTTGTTTTTGTGACGTTTTCCTACATTAAACAGACTGAATGATTATTATTAAACCATGATGATACCTCTAACGAATGAAGCTTTGGTCCAACAGGAAGAACAAACTATATTTACAGAGTACTTTCCTCAGCTGACCTGCTCCTCCTGGATGAGCCCAAAACACACATAAAAACCGGAGGAGACAGAGCTTTTGCTGCTGCCCCCCCGGCTATGGAACGGTCTGCATCTCAGCATCCGCTTCGCCCCGACTCCTAGCTGTTTCAAATCCTCCCTTAAAACCCAGCTGTTTGAACAGGCTTTTTTATTATCATTAAACTGTTTCTCATATGTATTTTCAGTTTCTTTGTTCTTGACATTATTATTATGCAAGATGGCGCTGTGCATGCAGCTGCCTGTTATGTCGGCTCTGTGGTCTCCTTTCCCACTTTCTCTATTTTATGTTGATTTTTTTTCTTTTAGTGAATACCGTAATGATCCTACTATATATATAAAAAAAAGCTGTTATATGTGGACGCACTGTATATACTGTATATACCCCATGCAGTTTCTTCTTCTTTGACTATTTGAGCCGATGTAACGAGTAAATTTCTCTACTGTGAGATCAATAAAGTCAATCAATCAATCAATGCATTGTTTGTATTGTATTCCTTGCCTTTATATGTTTGTTCTGAAGCATTTTGGGCAGCAGTGTTGTTGACTATTTAGGGTTAAAAGGTAGAAAGACTTGAACTTTCAACATCTCAAACTAAACTAGCAGTTCTCANTTGAACTTTCAACATCTCAAACTAAACTAGCAGTTCTCATCACATGTTACCTTTTTAAGTTGGATTTTTATCTCTGATAAATTCTCATTTCCAGCTAGAAACACTGATAATTCTGCTGCCAGCATGTTTTTAACCACAATTATTACTCAGAAACCAAAGAATATGGGCAGCAGCTCATCCTGCAGCTGATACAGAACCATAAACCATCAGATGATAACTGCTCCATTTTGTTCATCCACATCCATCTGTAGCAAAAACTCCTGATTGTTTTACTGTCCACAGCTTCTTTAACCGAACGTTATCCTCTACCAGCTGTTTGCTTTCTGCAACAAGCTGCTGTTTGTTCTGGGAGATGCATGGTGGAGTGTTTACACAGTAATCCTGGTGTACCCTGAAGATAAGACTTCCCCCTGCTGTGAGCTAATTAACACCAGTTTTATTTGAGCGGTGATATTTTCCACATTTAAATTTTTTTTCTGAGAACAAAAAGCAGGAAAAACCCACCAGAGTTATTCCCAAACTCCAAACATCCGAGCGGACGTCGTAGCCCTGCCTGGACGCACTAGGGTCGATTCTCTCCGGCTGAAAGGAAAAAAAAAAACAAGATTTCAAACTTTAGGTTTAGAAACTAAAGACAACACAGGCTGTCTCAACTCCACATAAAAAACATGTTTCATCCTTCCTCCACTCCTGCACCACCTCTCAGAGTAAAAGAAGCAGTGAAAGTGAGACGGGGGGGCTGCACTGCAGGAAGCACCTCACTGGCCCATTTACAGGCCTGAAATAGATGCTGATGTCACCAAGCAGAACTGCTGCACAGGAGCTGATCACATCTGCAGCAAGAAATCACTGCAGAGGAAGCAGGTGGAAAGCAAACCAGGATCTAAACGTAAACAGCGACATGCGGGGGACACAGACACAATGCTCAGCCCTCTGACTACAAACACGTTTCAGAGGTTTGATTTCTTTAGTTCCGTTTTCATCAACAGCTTATTGAACCATACATAATTAATAACATGCTGTTAATATTGACTTCCTAAAAAACACATAATATTTGAACAGAAACAATAGTAAGAAAGGCATCCGAAAAGTTGTTTTTTTTTTTTTGTAGCATTTTCTGTTGGTTTGCACAGAGGTTCCCTGCCAGAAGCTAATGCTAAAGTTTGGGACCAGACCAGCAGACCACTTGGTTCATATAAGAGAACATCTGTTTACTCCACGGTTTAATATGTTTAGTTTGACATTATTTATAAATATCCTTACTTGTCTTATATATTAAAAAAAAAACAAGAAAAATAGAAATCAGCTTTTATGCATTTTTTCTACCTTGAAGCTGCATAATCCTATTATATGTCTAAACAAAAATGACCAAAAAAGGTTTGATTATTTGACCGGGTGCAATGAGCAGAGATAAGGAGAGTGGCGGCCTGGTGGCATAGAGCTTGGAATCCTAAGGTTCTGGGTTCAAGTCCCACTCTCTGAGCAAGAGCCTTAACCCCACACTGCTCCCCGGGCGCCGCACAATGGCAGCCCACTGCTCCCCTAGGGGATTGGGTAAATGCAGAGGTAAATATCTCCACTGTGAGATCAATAGTATTTAATTATCTTTATGAACAGATGTGGCGCCATCTGCTGGCTGTGGCACATAACTACCAGAAATCCAGATGGTGACAAATGAAGCAGCTACTTCATAGAGTCTGACGCTGCTGCAATGCGTCACGATAACATAACAACATGTGGTCATAGACCAACAGATATTAACTAATTAAACCGATCTTCAGCATCTCTATCTAGTCAATCTTTCCCAGATCTTAACCCTTTAAAGCCTGGACTATAAAATAATTGAAAGAAAATAAAAATCAAATTAGATTTGTCTTTGATCTTTCTGACAAATGAAATAAAAAAAAAACATTTTGTATAATTGAAAATTTATTTGAAGATTTGAAACTTTAATTTAAAACTTTAATTTGAAAATTTATTTGCATTGATGTTAATAACTAAAAAACTGTACATAACTAAAGTGTATTTACTCTTAATTTGAGTTGGTTAATAAGATGATTTGCCAATGGAATTTGTATTTTTACTTTTCAAATAGGATTATTAGATAATATGTGCTTGAAATAAGACAATGGAATTGCTTTTTTTCATTTTAGATGTAAATTGTCTTGTTCCTTTGGCAAAGTGTCTCACTTACCTTCTCAATTCAAGAAAAAATTAACTTATTTTAAGAAAAAAATTACTTATTTTGCCTCTGTTGTTACTGTAAATATATATACAAAAGGCTTCATTTACTAACAAACTGAGCAAAAAAAGCCAAAACAGAAAAATAACTAAATAACTATGACACTCGTATATTTTTTTTTGGTCCTTTTTGGTGTTGCTCTGCTTTTTTAAAAATAAATTTCTTTTTTCTTTTTTAAAGAACCTCTGGCTGAATTCTGGCTCCGCTGCCGTGATTCATCACAACATTTTTACATTTCTTTGTACAAGAAATGATTTTTTTCTTCGAAGGAAGTATGGTTTTGTCTCTGTGCTATAGAATTTTGTATTTTAATTTATTTATTCATATTTTTCAGTTGAATGGACTCGGGGACAAATGCTAATAAGAGCCATGATGGAGAATACGACTGATTAGATTTTCTTCTTCTTTTTTTTGTATTTTACTATTTGAAAGCAGTGATCAGTAAAATCATAGAGCAGCACAGTAATACATTTTAGGTTCATAATGCATGCACTTTCATTTGTGTATTTATCTTAATAAGTTTATTGATATAATAAAAGTTTATTAATAATATTTCTATATTAAAAAAAACTGTTAGGTCTTGGTTCAACAGGCTATGTTCATTTCAATATGTTTTTTTAAACATTTAAGCAGTCCGACTCTAAGCTTTTAGCATATTTTGTTTTTTTTTTTACTTTGACATCCCTGGTTTAGAGTAAAGCAAACTTCTGATTGCAGGACAGTGAGACACAGCAGGGCGTAACGTGAGGTATCACAGGTTGGACTCATGAGGGTAGAATCATGGAAAGCAAATAATCAGCCACTCACTGTAGCCTGAGCTGAAGAACATCCACACATTTCTAAATAATAACTCAGCTGCTAAACACCATTAGGCCTGTTGCAACCAGCAGCACTGGGATCAGCACACCTGGTGCTGCCAGCTGGAAACAGAGAGCTGGTGCTTAGATTCCTGCAGCCTGAGCTCACAGGCCGCGGGACGCTCCGCAGCGACTCGGACTGAGTGAACGGAGCGTGGTCCCTCCCTCAGGGGAGCAGAGAGTGCAGCCGAGCTGTTGGACCGCATGGTAGTGATACTGCAGAACCAAATTTAGAATGGAAACTGCTCTGAGAGACTCGACAACTGAGGAGACAAAAAATAACCTCAGGTGATGACGCCACCATGAGGTCACTGCTTGGATCAGCCCAGGTCTCCATATCCGCCGAAATCTGGATTCATTAATGCAGCTTTGATGCAGTTTTTAATTTTCTTCTGTTCTTTTTCCGACTGAAAATATTTCCACAAGTTCCGCAAGCTTCCGAAGAAACCCAAATGATCTTTAGTTAGAAGCTTCACCCATCCAAAACTAAAGGTGGAGTAAACAGAAACGTTTCAAGGTGAAATTAATACTTCTGTTCCTAAAGTACTTTAAATAATAACTTCTTTTAAGAAGTCAAATGTGATTATCTAGAATTTTTGTCTTTAGAATTCACCAAATTCAAAAAATATGGTGATTTCCCCCCTAAAAAAACAAAAGGGAGTGTTAAAAAAACACTTCCAAGCCTGAGCTAAACATCTGGTTATGTTCTCCATCATTTAAAAAAAGAAGAAAAAAAAATAATTGAAACATCCAAAACCTACGGAAGAGGATTAGGGCCACTAAAAAAAAAAAAGTTAACTGATTTTTAAATTTTATTTCAGTTTAACATGGGAAAAAAGTCAGAATTCTGAGATTAAAGTCAGAATTCTGACTTTTTTCCATGTTAAACTTTTTTTTTCCCCCAGTGGCCCTAATCCTCTTCCGTAAAAACCTGCTTATGTGCAAAATGATAGTAAAACAAGAACAAATCAATGTTTGCAAACAATCGAATTAGTGTTAGAACATAGATCATAAAGCGACATGTTTACAGCTCCATCCATCATGTTGACGATACGTTTCATGCTAATGTTTTACAGTCAATCCAGATGATCATCATCAAGCAATAATTGCAACCTAATTGAACGTGGTTTATACAGGAATTCTTTTTTAATGCTCTTAGAAATAATTTCATTGCAACGGCAAAATCCTTCATCATCGTTACCTGCGGCCATGTCCCGAATTCCACGTTTTCCTGCCACTGTTTAAATTTGCCGTTTCTCCGCCTCAAGCTTCTTTTCCAAACATACGGATTTACGCTCAACTGGAAGCAGTTCCGTGCAAACCACGTGGAACTGACAAATTTTTTTTTATAAACTTTTTTTTTTAAAGCATTTTAAATGCCACCAAAATCTGATTTAATTAATTTTAATGCCAATTAAGGCCTTAATTTAAAAAATAATGATTTAATTAATTATTCATCAACGGAAACCCTGATGAATAATTCCTCTTTTCTTTTGGTATTTCAAAACCCCGAAAATAAAACTAAATAATTTCTAAGCTGCTTCAATCATGCTTCGTTACTGACCGCCATGTATGGCCTGCAGCCTGCATCTCTGGTTTTAGCGATGGAGTCCACCAGCTGGCCGCTGATGCCAAAGTCGCAGAGCTTGATGTTGCCGTTCCTGTCCAGGAGGATGTTGGACGGCTTGATGTCTGAGCGGAAAAAACAGAGACAGACGCTGAGAAGTGAAGCGCTGTCGCTTTAAATCCGAGATGCTGAAGTCTGTTTACCTCTGTGTATTATTTTCAAGTTTTCTTTTAAGTGGTTAAGTGCCTTCACAGTCTGCAGAACAAAAAGAGGAGTTACCAAACGCTGATGGATGAACAGAAAATAAAAACATGTCAGAAGTAGTAAAAAGAAACTTACAGCTAAAGTTATTTTTCCTAATATCTCTTCTGGAATCACGTCGTCTAAAGAGCCATATACAAACTTGTAAAATTTGTCTAACGAGGTAGCCATGAGTTCCATGCAGATCCAGCAATCACCCTGAAACGAATACAGGAAGTCGGATCGGTTCCAGGGGCAATAACCAAAAAAAAAAAAAAGAGCTCAGCTTTTATTTCTGGGGTGTTTATTTTCACCTCTCTGAACAGAGCGCCGTAAAACTGGACGATGTAAGGACAATCACTGCTTCTCATCACCACGTCCAGGTCCATCAGCAGCTGCTTCTGCTCCTTCTCATCAACAGTCGAACGAATCCTCTGGGGGGAAAAACAAAAACAAAATACTTTCAAAAATATTCTTTTTTAAATTTTTTTAAATATCCCGAAGTAAAGGCAGATCACCTTAACTGCCATGATCATGTTGCTGGGTTTGTGCACCATCTTGTTGACGGAGCCGTACGCCCCTCGGCCTATTTCGCCCAGATCCTTCAGATCCTCAGCTGTGAAGTCCCAGTGCTGCTCTGGGGAGATCTTCAGCTTCCCAGAGGACTCGATACTGTGAGTTCTCAGCCTCTCTCTGATAAAAACACCAATCCACTCAGCATGACACAGAAACAGGAGCCTCTTTAAACCAACGGGGAGAGCTCAGCTCACTCACATGTGGGGGTTCTGAAACGGAGGTCCAGCCGTGTTTAAGGAGAATCTAGTGGAGGGTTTGATCGAAGGGTTGGCGAAGTTCAGTTTCAGGGCTTTACGTTTACCTGAACAGCGGGAAAACCATTAAGTTTGTTTATTTATATACGGTAGAAATAAATAAATGAATGGAGCACACATGAAGAGAAGAGCAAAACGAAAACGCTCATTCAAAGTGAAAAAAACAGGAATGTTAAAAGTGGAAAAACAAAAAGAGAAACAGGGATTGAAAAAATAAGTTCATGAAGATTAAATCAAATCTAATGGATTTAATGGTTTCCAGAGAGTAGGGGCGTAAGAAGTGAAAAAATCTACAGTTTAGAAAACACCAAATTAAAAGTAATATAAAAACATATATATTAAAGCGGTATAGAGATAGGACTTTTTTGTGCCCAGTACAAGAATAAATGTTCCTGGTCTTATTTTGCTGAATTAAATGTGGAATTTTCAAGTATCCATTAAAAACACATGATTATTTTTAGGAAAAACTGCAGACTGGTTAATAATTAATTGTTCACTCATTCACTGTAGGTCAAATGCATGGTGGTTCGACTCAAATCCTAATATAATTCAGCTAGAAGATGGCTAATTAGTGTGCAGAGCATGTGATTGATGGAAATAGAGTAAGAATATCAGCAGCCATTGTTATGCAGAGGTCAGGATTTTTCAGCTAATGCTAAGGTTAGCATTTTGATCGACAGAGTTGACAAAGACCGCCATCACAACCTTAATTTGAAAAAAAATAAAATAAAAATGATTTTGTTCAAAAGCTTTTAATTTTTTTAATTAATTTTAGTCATCAAAAATGGTCATCATTAGGTCACAATTTAACAAATATATATGAAGAAGCTACCTATACTAAGAATTTGTTTCATTTTTTCCTTGATCCCACATTAAAAAAAAACAACTTTTAAATAAATATATTAGTGATAATCTATTTATTTATTATAAAATACTAAGATATAGATGTTATCCTCTTGTATTTAGTTTTAGCTTTTAAACAGGAGCTTTTTTGTTCTTTTTAGTATTTAAGACGGTAATAACTAATGAATTAAAAGAAAAGGAGCATTTAATTTAGCTTGAGCCAAACCATTTAATTAAAATAAACATAGGTGTAAATTTTGACAACGTATCTTTTCTAAATGCAGCTAACCTATACTCTGTCAATGGGCCGCTAACTAAATTAGATGCCAGCTTTAGCATTAGCTTGGCAATGATAGCATTAGCATGTTTTTGCTAATAAATCATTAAACATTTAATGTTTGTGGTAGCTTTGATAACTTTTGTAGAAATTAAATAATAGAAACTGAAATAATAGTGTCATTAGCATGTTAGCTGCTAATAATATAAGCTAACAGTAGTGTCTAGATCTTGCTAGTCTTAATGTAGCTACATGTTCAGGCTGAGTGACTGAAACTTTACTAGGAAAGTCTTTAAACAAGAATATTTTGAATAAATATTAAAAACAGCCAGATTTATTTACACAGGAAATTTATCAGCATTAAATTTACTCTATTTTAGGAAATCTTTAAAAATAGTTAGCATTTGGTTTAGGGGGAGTGGCGGCCTAGTGGTTAGGGCATTGCTCTTAGGCCCCAGAGGTTTTAGGTTCGAGCCCCACACCCACAGACTGCCACTGTGGGTCTCTGAGCAAGACCCTTAACCCCAATCTGCTCCCCAAGTAACGCCCAATGGCAGCCCACTGGTCCCCAAAGGGATGGGTTAAATGCAGACTGAATTTCATTGCTTTGTAGTTGTGACAGTATAATGACAACAACATTTAATTATTTTCTTTCTATTCTCTACATAAACAGTAAAACTAACTTAAAATACCACTACTTTAACTCAACTTTGAGCAAAAACAGCTCATTTGTAAAGAAAATATGTTTAATTTTGAACAACCTATATTACTCAACATAAAAAAGGACCAGAGTATCCTTACTATAGTGTCAAAGAACGTCCTTGACCCATTTTGACTTTATTTGCTAAAATAACTTTTACTAAAACCAACCCAGTACCATTTTTAAAAAACAATACAACTATCCTGTTGAATCATGAATTACTGGACTTCGCCACAACAGTTGAGTTCAGTTTGCAACCCAAATCTGTCGAACCAAGAAGACACCAGAAGAGAACGAGTCTGAGAACACAAAGGATCTCAAAAAAGTAACTCGTGAGGTTCCTGATCTATAGAAATTGATGAAGAGATCAGAAACAGTCTTTGACATCTCTCAGTCCGAGTTAAAAGTCTTCTGAAAATGGCCCTAGCCAAGTCACTTGTAAGGCCTTTGGTGTTGGAGTAAGACCAAATCATCAATTTATGCACAAGTTCCAAAAAGACATTAGCAAAAACATTTAAAGCTCCTCTGGCATCACTTGTCTCAGATAAAAGTAGTTTGTGATTCAACAAGAAGAAAAAGAGACGAAGCAAAAATAACTTCTGTAAAAGAGATTCAAGACCAAAACCACTGATTTTTATTTATCGTCTACCAGTCCTCAAAGAACACAGAGGCCTGTCTCACATTTTCTAAAAGACATCTTGGCAAATCAGGATTTCTGGGAAAATGTTTCGAGTACAGATGAGAGAGAGTGGAGCTTCTCGGAGGGTTTGTTTCCTGTTCTATCTGGCAGAAGGCTAGCACAACGTAAAATAAACTATGTCATACCAACAAACATGTTGCTGGCGATGTAATGGTTAAAACAAAAAGGTTTTGCCGTGGCCTAGTCAAAGCCCACCCCTGTGGATCGACATGCAAATTACAATTTCTCCAATTTGACGCTGCAGTTCACATTTCCAAACATATGCGACTTGTATGTGATATCCTGTGTGAACTGGAGTCATAAAACGCAAGTGTCCCGCATGCGCAGTAGAGGACGCAATGACATCACAGGCCAGCGTGCATCGTGTTTATGGAAGTTAACATGGATGGTAGTGTCGGAGCGCATCTAGCGATCTTTTCCAAATAAAAACTCAATCTTTTCAAGATGGTTAAACATAAATACTGCTCTCCGCATCATCATCTGCCATGGTTGTTGTTTTTCTTGCCGCTTCTTTATAGCAAGACCCAGAATAGTGACCTTTGTCTGTATTAATGGCGTTCAGGTCGGATGAATGCGACCTGGCCGTTCAGACACAGATCGCATTTGAAAAGATCGGATTCGTATTGGATTCAGGACCACATAGCCAAGTGGCCTGGGTTGAATGGAAAAAAATCGGATCTGTGTTGTTCAGACTGCCATGAAAAGATAAAGATTCAGGTCACATATGGGTAAAAAAAGTAAATAAATCGGATTTATGTCACTTAACGTTGCAGTGTGAACGTAGCCTTAGATGCATCCAACATTCTCTTTGTTATATAGTTTGTCTGATGTCATCACCAGACATAATAATTGCAGTCTGGCAAAATTTAATTACCGTACATCATGTTTATATGTACCTTAGTTGTGTCTGACTTTAGATTATAAACTATATACTATAAAAGTAGAACAAAACAGAAACATAAAAATCCAAATTAGTACATTTATTTAAAACATCCAAAGTCAACAAAATTAGTAGCCAGATGCAGCATGAGAAGTCATTATTCATCAAGGAAAGGTTGGTACTAAACTTTTGCACTTAACAGCTTAGTAGACTTTTTATAATCAGGGAGAGAAAAAAGGCAGTTTGTCTTTTTCTTTGTTAAATAAAATGCAATCGAGGGTAACCCAGATGTGCAAATGAGCTGATGGTTCGGGTAGTGCTACCGGAACAAATAGGGTACTAGTGACACAAATGTTAGCGTTAGCTGAGCTGGAAACCAGCTGACAAAGAGCACGCAATGAAAGCAGGTGAGGTACGAGTGCGCCCCTCACTGGCCAGGAGGAGTTAAATTTGAAGCTATCGCCTTTAAGTAGTCCTCCATGCAGCGACATTACAAGATTGGCATTGACAGTGAATGAGTGATGATTAAAAAAAACTGCATCTGATTCAGGTCTAATTTTTCTAATTATGATTTTTTAGAATCCAAAACAAAGTAAAACGACTAAAATCTTTACTCTAAAACAGCTCATTTAGACAGCCATCATTTTAGCTATAAACAAAAGGAAAAAAAGGCAGAAACGTTCTATCACTTCATCTACACCCCGACTCTTTGATATTATAACAACAATCCAACAAAGCGTGCTGGACTTAATCTGAACGTGGAAAAATAAAACACAATGGGATGAAAACATGCAAGAAAAGCTGCTTTGATTTTCACCTTGTACCAAATGTTTGCACCACCCAAAAACACCACAGGAATGTGTGCGGGAATAAACCAAGCTGGGCTAAAAATGACAACTTCAGTTTGTTTACACAGCACACCAGTGGAAAGCTGAGGTTTACCCAAACCCCAAATAACACAAACCTAACAAACACTTCTTCTGCTTAGTTAGTTAGTTGCACACTGAAAACCACAGAGTTAGAGCTTTTAAAGTGCACGGCCCCATCACACCGAGGGCTACAGATCTGTTAGGTCAAATTATCAGAGAAAGGTTTGAATGTTAGTCTTATGCCATTCAGAACAGATCTGCTGTTTCTATGCAGACTTGCAACCATTTGCCAAAAGTCAATTAAAATATTTGGAGCACATCTGCTTCTGGCACAAGCCCACTCAGACCAATGGGGTGTTTAGGCCTGGATTAGTGCAGAACAGCAGGACCAACTCCCTCCATACCAAAGTGTCAGGTGGAAAGAAAGAGATGAGTGCTGTTGGTGCTGAAGCAAAAGAGGTTTGGCTTACTTGGGTGAGCTCCAGACAGGTTTATCTGAAACCCTAGAGGTGAAAAGAAAGCTTTTACTTTTTTTTTTTTTTTTAAATAATCCTCAGGAGACTTCTTGGTCGGTTAGACATCAGAGTCCGTTGCTCTAAATTTGCCTGTTTGTTTCTACAACTAATGGTTAAAAAACACAGTTAGAGAAATCCGTCTTGCTTTGTGGCGTTAATCAAGCTTCTGGAGGATCAGGATGCATAACTGATATGCATTTACATGCATTCATCAGACGGATACAAACACTTGACCACAAGGTAAACAACAAAAAAAAGGACGAAAAAGGGGAAAATAAAGAATAATCTTTAAAGATGATTCGACAGGAAGAAAAAAAATAAAGAGTAACAAGCATTTTGTTTTAACTTTGGACAGCTCACCATCAGACAGCATCGCATCAGGAGTTAGGAAGCAATAATTAAGCAGCATTAAGGTAAGAAATCAAATACAGTCAGGTGATTATCAACAAAAAAACTACACATCTGTATTATTTGTTAAATAACTGAAATAAATCACAGTTTCTAAATGGTTTGATTATGACTATTAAAAAACAGCTGCAGCCATTGTTCTAATAGCGTATCCTGGTTTTATTTTCAAACCGACAGGTTAAAGACGTGTGCAGCTACCTGTTTCACTCTGACATCTCCAGCAGGTGTTGGACTCTGAAAGTAAAAAAAATGAGACGATGTTTGCATAGAAATACAGAACAATTCAGCATGAAGAGCGGAATCTGATTTCATGTTGAGTCAAATGTGAACCATTTTGTTAAGTTTGCAATCTTAACAACCAAAACTAGGCTCTAAATTCTGTCAAGTCCAACTTTATTGTGTTTAGATGATCAGATTAACTTACCATGATCAACTCTATCAGCACCTCAATGATTCACTATAACAAAACCTTATATAAAAAAAACAAAAACCCAAGATCATTCATGAATAAAACACAATGCAATACTTTTAAAGATGTAGTTCAATATATATTTAGTTGCAATTCCTAAAAAATGTAACATCAGGGAATGCAACAACGGGAAAAAATCCAATTTCTATCCGATTAGACAGAGCCCAAAGTAATGCAGTAATCCAGTTCATCACAGTCCTTTTAAAACAAGTTAGAAAAACAGAAAACTTACAATCTAAATTAAATAAAGTTAGTTAATTACAGTCGACTTTAATCTAACGAGTCAAATTTTAACTAAAAAGCTAAAACAGACGATCCAAAACTGATTGCATCTAAATCAAACTCAAACAATTACGTCTAGTTTACTTTTAGATCAGGGCTTCCCAATCATTTCAACCCACTGAATACTCCCTAAAAATACAAAAAATGACTTTACTCTATATTATAAATAGTTATAAAGTGAAATAATGATGCATATTTTAAATTAATGGTTTTAGATGATATTTAATTCTCCAGTTTATCATTTAACATAGATTTTTTTATTAATTAATTAATAGGAAACATGTTTTCATTGGGCATTATTATGAGCATTTTTATAATTTATTTGATAAATAAATGTTACATTTCTTTATTTCAAGAGAAATGTATTCATTTTATGGAACATTCATAAATTTTGGCCCCCCATGTGCCCCAGGGAGCCACCTCAGGACCCCCGTGTTTGAAACGCATGTTCTACACAGCAGGTTTTAATATATTACATCCTCTTAAACAGATCGATTGATTTAAAGCAATATGATCCAATCTAATATCCAAACGGAGACATTCCTTTGCAGTCCATTTAGATTAAAACATTCTCATTCAATCCTACTTACACATCTCCATCCCATCTTTTTTCTTTTTAGCATAATCAAATTACCTTCCAATTCAACACATTTCAGATCAATTCATTCATGATGAATAATATCAAAACATCCTCATTCAATTTCATTTTAACTACATGGCGGATTTAATATATAAATTAAATTTTTTTATATAATTTAATATATATTATTATAATATAATTAAATATAAAAAATATATTTCAAAATGGGTTATTTTATTATATTTTATTATTTAAAAATCTGAAATGTTAGAACTGTAAATATACAGTCATATGTTTATTTTACTGTTTTTATATATTTTCTTCTGTATTCAAGGCTCTACTTTAAAAAAAAATGAAATTGCCTAGAGAGCTGTTCTTAACTAAATTTATTTTTTTTACACTTGTGTAAACAAAATTACAAAATAAATCTGTCTGAATCTATTTAATCTTTTAACATGTTAATAAAATGCTGTAAATCCAGAGTAGAACATGACAATTACAGTCCAAACAAACATTATTACCCTTTCTACATCCAATGTAATGATTCAAATGATAAAAAAAAAGGACATTTTATAAACAAATGTCTATAACCAGGTATTACACAACTGACTGCAAAGTCACAGTGTCAGAGGATTCCTCAGCTTCATCCGGTTATTTTATTTAATCAATAAGCTTTTAACTCATTGTGTAAAATGTAGCAGCTCGATCATTCCTTTGGGAATCTTTCTCAGTCAGGGAGTAGCCTCCCTGGTGTTAGCCGTGCTAACGTTAACCTTCAGAGGGCTGCCTCACTCACCCTGCATGCCGCTCATGGTGCTAGTGTGCTGGGGCTGAGACTGCTGCGGCTGCTGGTAGTGGTGTGACACAGATCCCATGTTACTGCTGCCTGTCGATGAGCTGTTTGAACCAGGAGACGCCATTGTTGTATGTTTGAATTCCATCAGCACCGCCGGGGGGGCTGCAATGCAGAGAGACTCGGGCAGCAACTTCACTCCCTTTTTCCTTCTTGCTGCTGTAGGGGAAAAAATACAGCAGCACTAATGCTAGTTTAGCCCCGCGAAAGCGAACAGACGACGATTGGAGTGGACTATAAGTCAATGAAAAGGCTAACTGTGCGTTAAACCTTAGGGCTGAGGTGGAAGCAGTCTATTTGATGACAAAAACAAACACGCAACTAAGCTAAGCTAGCTAGACGGGCTAACAATCAGCTGACATTTCAACACCCACAGACCGCAGCAAGATAGCAGCTGTTAGCCTAGGAGGGACCGGATGTTTTCTACAAGCTCTTTCAAAATAAGACAAACGCTTCTTCTGCTTCTTTAATGGATTTTCTTCTACTACTTCTTCTTTTCTACTATGGCGGATCGCAAGCAATTTTAAAGTGCATACCGCCACCTACTGTACATGAGTGTATAGCAACATTACTTTAAATCTAATTCTTATTTGTAATTTTGTATTCTGTAGATAAATAAATAATGCTTTCCTTTTTTTTTTGAATCTTTGAATATCCTTTATATTTCCTTCGGTTCCCAATATTCATTTAAGACTCCATCCTTTCGTCCTTCCAACCATAGATATCCATATCTATGCTTCCAACCATCCTTTTATGGATTTAGGAAAGCAACTTACCACGCATTACCGCCACCTACTGGAATGGAGTGTGGATCGGGAGGCTACATATAATATTCTAACACATTTAAAAAATAATATTAGTGATAAATAAACAATAACAATGAAAGAAACAAAATTTATATCATATGAATTTCGTTTTCTTAAGGTCATTCATTACATAACAAAAACATTTAAAGGTAGACATTTTGTCCAAAATATCTTGTATATTTAACTTTCATTTCTTTTATTGTAACCGAGATACTAATTCAAATCTCTCAANGAAATAAATAAATGAATGGAGCACACATGAAGAGAAGAGCAAAACGAAAACGCTCATTCAAAGAGAAAAAAACAGGAATGTTAAAAGTGGAAAAAAAAAAGAGAAACAGGGATTGAAAAAATGAGTACATGAAGATTAAATCAAATCTAATGGATTTAATGGTTTCCAGAGAGTAGGGGTGTAAGAAGTGAAAAAAAAAATCTACAGTTTAGAAAACACCAAATTAAAAGTAATATAAAAACATATATATTAAAGCGGTATAGAGATAGGACTTTTTTGTGCCCAGTACAAGAATAAATGTTCCTGGTCTTATTTTGCTGAATTAAATGTGGAATTTTCAAGTATCCATTAAAAACACATGATTATTTTTAGGAAAAACTGCAGACTGGTTAATAATTAATTGTTCACTCATTCACTGTAGGTCAAATGCATGGTGGTTCGACTCAAATCCTAATATAATTCAGCTAGAAGATGGCTAATTAGTGTGCAGAGCATGTGATTGATGGAAATAGAGTAAGAATATCAGCAGCCATTGTTATGCAGAGGTCAGGATTTTTCAGCTAATGCTAAGGTTAGCATTTTGATCGACAGAGTTGACAAAGACCGCCATCACAACCTTAATTTGAAAAAAAATAAAATAAAAATGATTTTGTTCAAAAGCTTTTAATTTTTTTAATTAATTTTAGTCATCAAAAATGGTCATCATTAGGTCACAATTTAACAAATATATATGAAGAAGCTACCTATACTAAGAATTTGTTTCATTTTTTCCTTGATCCCACATTAAAAAAAAACAACTTTTAAATAAATATATTAGTGATAATCTATTTATTTATTATAAAATACTAAGATATAGATGTTATCCTCTTGTATTTAGTTTTAGCTTTTAAACAGGAGCTTTTTTGTTCTTTTTAGTATTTAAGACGGTAATAACTAATGAATTAAAAGAAAAGGAGCATTTAATTTAGCTTGAGCCAAACCATTTAATTAAAATAAACATAGGTGTAAATTTTGACAACGTATCTTTTCTAAATGCAGCTAACCTATACTCTGTCAATGGGACGCTAACTAAATCAGATGCCAGCTTTAGCATTAGCTTGGCAATGATAGCATTAGCATGTTTTTGCTAATAAATCATTAAACATTTAATGTTTGTGGTAGCTTTGATAACTTTTGTAGAAATTAAATAATAGAAACTGAAATAATAGTGTCATTAGCATGTTAGCTGCTAATAATATAAGCTAACAGTAGTGTCTAGATCTTGCTAGTCTTAATGTAGCTACATGTTCAGGCTAAGTGACTGAAACTTTACGATGAAAGTCTTTAAACAAGAATATTTTGAATAAATATTAAAAACAGCCAGATTTATTTACACAGGAAATTTGTCAGCATTAAATTTACTCTGTTTTAGGAAATCTTGAAAATAGTTAGCATTTGGTTTAGGGGGAGTGGCGGCCTAGTGGTTAGGGCATTGCTCTTAGGCCCCAGAGGTTTTAAGTTCGAGCCCCACACCCACAGACTGCCACTGTGGGTCTCTGAGCAAGACCCTTAACCCCAATCTGCTCCCCAAGCAACGCACAATGGCAGCCCACTGGTCCCCAAAGGGACGGGTTAAATGCAGACTGAATTTCATTGCTTTGTAGTTGTGACAGTATAATGACAACAACATTGAATTATTTTCTTTCTATTCTCTACATAAACAGTAAAACTAACTTAAAATACCACTACTTTAACTCAACTTTGAGCAAAAACAGCTCATTTGTAAAGAAAATATGTTTAATTTTGAACAACCTATATTACTCAACATAAAAAAGGACCAGAGTATCCTTACTATAGTGTCAAAGAACGTCCTTGACCCATTTTGACTTTATTTGCTAAAAGAACTTTTACTAAAACCAACCCAGTACCATTTTTAAAAAACAATACAACTATCCTGTTGAATCATGAATTACTGGACTTCGCCACAACAGTTGAGTTCAGTTTGCAACCCAAATCTGTCGAACCAAGAAGACACCAGAAGAGAACGAGTCTGAGAACACAAAGGATCTCAAAAAAGTAACTCGTGAGGTTCCTGATCTATAGAAATTGATGAAGAGATCAGAAACAGTCTTTGACATCTCTCAGTCCGAGTTAAAAGTCTTCTGAAAATGGCCCTAGCCAAGTCACTTGTAAGGCCTTTGGTGTTGGAGTAAGACCAAATCATCAATTTATGCACAAGTTCCAAAAAGACATTAGCAAAAACATTTAAAGCTCCTCTGGCATCACTTGTCTCAGATAAAAGTAGTTTGTGATTCAACAAGAAGAAAAAGAGACGAAGCAAAAATAACTTCTGTAAAAGAGATTCAAGACCAAAACCACTGATTTTTATTTATCGTCTACCAGTCCTCAAAGAACACAGAGGCCTGTCTCACATTTTCTAAAAGACATCTTGGCAAATCAGGATTTCTGGGAAAATGTTTCGAGTACAGATGAGAGAGAGTGGAGCTTCTCGGAGGGTTTGTTTCCTGTTCTATCTGGCAGAAGGCTAGCACAACGTAAAATAAACTATGTCATACCAACAAACATGTTGCTGGCGATGTAATGGTTAAAACAAAAAGGTTTTGCCGTGGCCTAGTCAAAGCCCACCCCTGTGGATCGACATGCAAATTACAATTTCTCCAATTTGACGCTGCAGTTCACATTTCCAAACATATGCGACTTGTATGTGATCTCCTGTGTGAACTGGAGTCATAAAACGCAAGTGTCCAGCATGCGCAGTAGAGGAAGCAATGACATCACAGGCCAGCGTGCATCGTGTTTACGGAAGTAAACATGGATGGTAGTGTCGGAGCGCATCAAGCGATCTTTTCCAAATAAAAACTCAATCTTTTCAAGATGGTTAAACATAAATACTGCTCTCCGCATCATCGTCTGCCATGGTTGTTGTTTTTCTTGCCGCTTCTTTATAGCAAGACCAAGAATAGTGACCTTTGTCTGTATTAATGGCGTTCAGGTCGGATGAATGCGACCTGGCCGTTCAGACACAGATCGCATTTGAAAAGATCGGATTCGTATTGGATTCAGGACCACATAGCCAAGTGGCCTGGGTTGAATGGAAAAAAATCGGATCTGTGTTGTTCAGACTGCCATGAAAAGATAAAGATTCAGGTCACATATGGGTAAAAAAAGTAAATAAATCGGATTTATGTCACTTAACGTTACAGTGTGAACGTAGCCTTAGATGCATCCAACATTCTCTTTGTTATATAGTTTGTCTGATGTCATCACCAGACATAATAATTGCAGTCTGGCAAAATTTAATTACCGTACATCATGTTTATATGTACCTTAGTTGTGTCTGACTTTAGATTATAAACTATATACTATAAAAGTAGAACAAAACAGAAACATAAAAATCCAAATTAGTACATTTATTTAAAACATCCAAAGTCAACAAAATTAGTAGCCAGATGCAGCATGAGAAGTCATTATTCATCAAGGAAAGGTTGGTACTAAACTTTTGCACTTAACAGCTTAGTAGACTTTTTATAATCAGGGAGAGAAAAAAGGCAGTTTGTCTTTTTCTTTGTTAAATAAAATGCAATCGAGGGTAACCCAGATGTGCAAATGAGCTGATGGTTCGGGTAGTGCTACCGGAACAAATAGGGTACTAGTGACACAAATGTTAGCGTTAGCTGAGCTGGAAACCAGCTGACAAAGAGTACGCAATGAAAGCAGGTGAGGTACGAGTGCGCCCCTCACTGGCCAGGAGGAGTTAAACTTGAAGCTATCGCCTTTAAGTAGTCCTCCATGTAGCAACATTAAAAGATTGGCATTGACAGTGAATGAGTGATGAAAAACTGCATCTGATTCAGGTCTAATTTTTCTAATTATGATTTTTTAGAATCCAAAACAAAGTAAAACGACTAAAATCTTTACTCTAAAACAGCTCATTTAGACAGCCATCATTTTAGCTATAAACAAAAGGAAAAAAAGGCAGAAACGTTCTACCACTTCATCTACACCCCGACTCTTTGATATTATAACAACAATCCAACAAAGCGTGCTGGACTTAATCTGAACGTGGAAAAATAAAACACAATGGGATGAAAACATGCAAGAAAAGCTGCTTTGATTTTCACCTTGTACCAAATGTTTGCACCACCCAAAAACACCACAGGAATGTGTGCGGGAATAAACCAAGCTGGGCTAAAAATGACAACTTCAGTTTGTTTACACAGCACACCAGTGGAAAGCTGAGGTTTACCCAAACCCCAAATAACACAAACCTAACAAACACTTCTTCTGCTTAGTTAGTTAGTTGCACACTGAAAACCACAGAGTTAGAGCTTTTAAAGTGCACGGCCCCATCACACCGAGGGCTACAGATCTGTTAGGTCAAATTATCAGAGAAAGGTTTGAATGTTAGTCTTATGCCATTCAGAACAGATCTGCTGTTTCTATGCAGACTTGCAACCATTTGCCAAAAGTCAATTAAAATATTTGGAGCACATCTGCTTCTGGCACAAGCCCACTCAGACCAATGGGGTGTTTAGGCCTGGATTAGTGCAGAACAGCAGGACCAACTCCCTCCATACCAAAGTGTCAGGTGGAAAGAAAGAGATGAGTGCTGTTGGTGCTGAAGCAAAAGAGGTTTGGCTTACTTGGGTGAGCTCCAGACAGGTTTATCTGAAACCCTAGAGGTGAAAAGAAAGCTTTTACTTTTTTTTTTTTTTTTAAATAATCCTCAGGAGACTTCTTGGTCGGTTAGACATCAGAGTCCGTTGCTCTAAATTTGCCTGTTTGTTTCTACAACTAATGGTTAAAAAACACAGTTAGAGAAATCCGTCTTGCTTTGTGGCGTTAATCAAGCTTCTGGAGGATCAGGATGCATAACTGATATGCATTTACATGCATTCATCAGACGGATACAAACACTTGACCACAAGGTAAACAACAAAAAAAAGGACGAAAAAGGGGAAAATAAAGAATAATCTTTAAAGATGATTCGACAGGAAGAAAAAAAATAAAGAGTAACAAGCATTTTGTTTTAACTTTGGACAGCTCACCATCAGACAGCATCGCATCAGGAGTTAGGAAGCAATAATTAAGCAGCATTAAGGTAAGAAATCAAATACAGTCAGGTGATTATCAACAAAAAAACTACACATCTGTATTATTTGTTAAATAACTGAAATAAATCACAGTTTCTAAATGGTTTGATTATGACTATTAAAAAACAGCTGCAGCCATTGTTCTAATAGCGTATCCTGGTTTTATTTTCAAACCGACAGGTTAAAGACGTGTGCAGCTACCTGTTTCACTCTGACATCTCCAGCAGGTGTTGGACTCTGAAAGTAAAAAAAATGAGACGATGTTTGCATAGAAATACAGAACAATTCAGCATGAAGAGCGGAATCTGATTTCATGTTGAGTCAAATGTGAACCATTTTGTTAAGTTTGCAATCTTAACAACCAAAACTAGGCTCTAAATTCTGTCAAGTCCAACTTTATTGTGTTTAGATGATCAGATTAACTTACCATGATCAACTCTATCAGCACCTCAATGATTCACTATAACAAAACCTTATATAAAAAAAACAAAAACCCAAGATCATTCATGAATAAAACACAATGCAATACTTTTAAAGATGTAGTTCAATATATATTTAGTTGCAATTCCTAAAAAATGTAACATCAGGGAATGCAACAACGGGAAAAAATCCAATTTCTATCCGATTAGACAGAGCCCAAAGTAATGCAGTAATCCAGTTCATCACAGTCCTTTTAAAACAAGTTAGAAAAACAGAAAACTTACAATCTAAATTAAATAAAGTTAGTTAATTACAGTCGACTTTAATCTAACGAGTCAAATTTTAACTAAAAAGCTAAAACAGACGATCCAAAACTGATTGCATCTAAATCAAACTCAAACAATTACGTCTAGTTTACTTTTAGATCAGGGCTTCCCAATCATTTCAACCCACTGAATACTCCCTAAAAATACAAAAAATGACTTTACTCTATATTATAAATAGTTATAAAGTGAAATAATGATGCATATTTTAAATTAATGGTTTTAGATGATATTTAATTCTCCAGTTTATCATTTAACATAGATTTTTTTATTAATTAATTAATAGGAAACATGTTTTCATTGGGCATTATTATGAGCATTTTTATAATTTATTTGATAAATAAATGTTACATTTCTTTATTTCAAGAGAAATGTATTCATTTTATGGAACATTCATAAATTTTGGCCCCCCATGTGCCCCAGGGAGCCACCTCAGGACCCCCGTGTTTGAAACGCATGTTCTACACAGCAGGTTTTAATATATTACATCCTCTTAAACAGATCGATTGATTTAAAGCAATATGATCCAATCTAATATCCAAACGGAGACATTCCTTTGCAGTCCATTTAGATTAAAACATTCTCATTCAATCCTACTTACACATCTCCATCCCATCTTTTTTCTTTTTAGCATAATCAAATTACCTTCCAATTCAACACATTTCAGATCAATTCATTCATGATGAATAATATCAAAACATCCTCATTCAATTTCATTTTAACTACATGGCGGATTTAATATATAAATTAAATTTTTTTATATAATTTAATATATATTATTATAATATAATTAAATATAAAAAATATATTTCAAAATGGGTTATTTTATTATATTTTATTATTTAAAAATCTGAAATGTTAGAACTGTAAATATACAGTCATATGTTTATTTTACTGTTTTTATATATTTTCTTCTGTATTCAAGGCTCTACTTTAAAAAAAAATGAAATTGCCTAGAGAGCTGTTCTTAACTAAATTTATTTTTTTTACACTTGTGTAAACAAAATTACAAAATAAATCTGTCTGAATCTATTTAATCTTTTAACATGTTAATAAAATGCTGTAAATCCAGAGTAGAACATGACAATTACAGTCCAAACAAACATTATTACCCTTTCTACATCCAATGTAATGATTCAAATGATAAAAAAAAAGGACATTTTATAAACAAATGTCTATAACCAGGTATTACACAACTGACTGCAAAGTCACAGTGTCAGAGGATTCCTCAGCTTCATCCGGTTATTTTATTTAATCAATAAGCTTTTAACTCATTGTGTAAAATGTAGCAGCTCGATCATTCCTTTGGGAATCTTTCTCAGTCAGGGAGTAGCCTCCCTGGTGTTAGCCGTGCTAACGTTAACCTTCAGAGGGCTGCCTCACTCACCCTGCATGCCGCTCATGGTGCTAGTGTGCTGGGGCTGAGACTGCTGCGGCTGCTGGTAGTGGTGTGACACAGATCCCATGTTACTGCTGCCTGTCGATGAGCTGTTTGAACCAGGAGACGCCATTGTTGTATGTTTGAATTCCATCAGCACCGCCGGGGGGGCTGCAATGCAGAGAGACTCGGGCAGCAACTTCACTCCCTTTTTCCTTCTTGCTGCTGTAGGGGAAAAAATACAGCAGCACTAATGCTAGTTTAGCCCCGCGAAAGCGAACAGACGACGATTGGAGTGGACTATAAGTCAATGAAAAGGCTAACTGTGCGTTAAACCTTAGGGCTGAGGTGGAAGCAGTCTATTTGATGACAAAAACAAACACGCAACTAAGCTAAGCTAGCTAGACGGGCTAACAATCAGCTGACATTTCAACACCCACAGACCGCAGCAAGATAGCAGCTGTTAGCCTAGGAGGGACCGGATGTTTTCTACAAGCTCTTTCAAAATAAGACAAACGCTTCTTCTGCTTCTTTAATGGATTTTCTTCTACTACTTCTTCTTTTCTACTATGGCGGATCGCAAGCAATTTTAAAGTGCATACCGCCACCTACTGTACATGAGTGTATAGCAACATTACTTTAAATCTAATTCTTATTTGTAATTTTGTATTCTGTAGATAAATAAATAATGCTTTCCTTTTTTTTTTGAATCTTTGAATATCCTTTATATTTCCTTCGGTTCCCAATATTCATTTAAGACTCCATCCTTTCGTCCTTCCAACCATAGATATCCATATCTATGCTTCCAACCATCCTTTTATGGATTTAGGAAAGCAACTTACCACGCATTACCGCCACCTACTGGAATGGAGTGTGGATCGGGAGGCTACATATAATATTCTAACACATTTAAAAAATAATATTAGTGATAAATAAACAATAACAATGAAAGAAACAAAATTTATATCATATGAATTTCGTTTTCTTAAGGTCATTCATTAAATAACAAAAACATTTAAAGGTAGACATTTTGTCCAAAATATCTTGTATATTTAACTTTCATTTCTTTTATTGTAACCGAGATACTAATTCAAATCTCTCAACAGAATACGTGGAACAGAACAACAAAATATTTTTTACAAAGCGGTTTAGTGTGTCTGAAACCCAAAACAACCATCGTCCATGAGGGGAAATTAAGCAGTCCTGCTCCTCTGTAGTTTAAATAGCGGTTTTAAAAACAGCCCACCTGCATTAATTATCTGCTATCCACTTATTACACACAGCTGTCACAGATCAGATTAATAAAATCAACAACAGGTAAACAAACGGATAAACCTAAATGAAAAAATCCGGCTAAAAACCAACGGTATCAGAAATTTTAAACTTAACAAAATGAAGGGATATAAATGTGGCTTTTAGCTGTGTGGTCAATGATAGTGTCACAAACCAGGGGGCCAGACGCCCTCTAGCGGTCCGGACCCCTCATTACACCGTGGTAAGGGACATCCACCATTTTCGCCACAAACCTCAAAACAACTGGATGCTGGAAACATCCTGCGTTGCTGTGCTGTTGTCGTCCGCCAGAGGGCGCTTGGGAAACATTTAACTTAAGAAACGAAAATGTTCCGAACTGAAGGAGTATACAAGAAATAAACAAATAAACCTTAAATAAATAGGACTACCTAAAAATAGCTTCTGTTAGATTTTTTTCTTCCTTTTACTAAATTTTGTTCTTCATAAAGCTGAAGTAGAACTCTCATGTTTTTCTTGTGGATAATAAAAGGAAATTTGTTAAAGTTTTTAAAGTTTCTTAAAAGTAGGATTTCCTTGTCAATTTTTCTTTCAGGTTTCTCAACTTTCCAGCAGTCTTTGATACGATCATGAAACCAACGACAGACAGAAAGATCTTAATCATTTAGTCAAACATTTCAGTAAAATAGATCAACATAATAATAACGGAAAAGACAAAACTAAAATACAAATAAATTCTTGCACACTTTTAAAGAAAATGTGAAAAAAAAAATGCTATTAATTGTAAATTGTCCTATTTTATTTTTCTTTCTCTGTTTTCCACCTTCATCCTGAGCTATTTGCTTTCCTTTGCCTTTCACTTTCCTATTGAGGCAGGTGCATTTCCCCACTGAGGTGAAGCACAGGTCATTTCTGTTCTATTCTAGATTGGTGGATAAGTAAGGGACTGTCCCAGGTGTTTCTGTATGCAAATAATGTCCTGATTTTGTAGCATGTTATTGTTGCTCAGTGGCGGTACAAATAGTTTCACTTTATGCAAAAATATTCGACTATTTTGTTTTGCATAGTGTGATATATCTATCATGAATAAGCTGTGGTTGATCAGAAACAAGCTGCTGCTTTAGCAAAGTATCAGAGCTGAGCAGCTGAGGTTAAGGGAGGCGGACTGCAGAGCTGGTTGTGCTGAAGAACAACCTTTCATTTACAAAACAAGCATTTCCACTGATTCATCTGATGCTTCTTGATGTTTATTTGATGCTTAAAACCAAATCTCATATGTAATGATCAGAGTCATTACTAGTGAATGGCACAAACCCTAGGGAGTGCCGGCCTAGCGGTTAGGGCATTGCACTTGGAATCCAGAGGTTCTGAGTTCAGGCCCCACTCCCACAGACTGCCACTCTGGGTCCCTGAGCAAAGACCCTTGACACCACACTACTGCACAATGGCAGCCCACTGCATCCCTGAGGGGATGGGTTAAATGCAGAGTGAATTTTGTTGCCCTGTACTTGTGACAGTGACAATAAAATGCTAGAAAAACAAATGGTTTATTTTGTGTCATAAAAACAATCAATTTTCACTCTGTGATCTTGTAGCGCAACATTTCTGACATCTTAATGAGTAACTTAAAACCAGCCTTGCAGAGAAACAACTCATACGTCAGCCATGTATGGTATGAAGCTGCAAGAGGAACCAGGAAGAAAAAAAACTACGTCTGCTTTCTAAAGTTCACGTCTTTCAGGTTCTCATTCAAAACATTTAGATTTACTCCAATGTTTTAGTTTGTAAAGGTTCTGAATGATTCAGACAGTATAAATGTTCCTGAAACTGGGCGACTTTGAACCAAGGTCAGCACATCTGTGGGAGAAAGGATCTGTGATGATGTTCCTTTGTGTATCTAGCAGGCAGCAGTCAGTCACTGGTGGACTTCTCCCGTCCACTGGGATCAGTGGTGTCAAAAGTTCACACATTTATTACTTAAGTAGAAGTATAGA